TTTTCAAGACAGGGTTTCTCTGTGTAGCTTTGGAGCCTATCCTGGCACTTGCTTTGGAGTCCAGGCTGGCCTCAAACTCACAGAGATCCGCCTGCCTCTGCCTCCCCAGCGCTGGGATTAAAGGCATGCACCACAAATGCCCGGCCTAAAATGGGGTTTTAACTGAGAGAAAGAAGCGTGGCATTGAAGTCCTTGGGCAACACTGTGACTGTGCAGCATCTGCACAGGTAATGATGACATGGAAGCCATTTGAAGTTCCAGTTTAGAAGCATAGATGCCAACACAGGAGCATTCTACAGAACTTCTCTCACAGGGGAAATAGCTAGCATGTGACAGATATCTCACACAACTTGAGGATGCATTAGGTTTCCAGTTGCACTGATTGAGTTAGTGAGCTTGTAAAAATTATCAGCAGCTCTTCTATGAGGTTTGGTTAACTGTGGTGATCAGCTGCAGAATAATTAAGGGAATTTGCTAGAATAACATATATGTGAAGATAAAAGCCGACTTGAATTAAGGAAGCCTTATTTAATTTCTTCAATACTAACCTTCTGAGTATTTTAAAATATGATATATTAGAATATTCGATACTCCCTATTTGGATATTTTACCTATCATGAGCACTAATTTACATTAGCTTGCTTTTGTACTAAACTGAATGAATTGATATTTTTGAAACACCCTGTGTTTTAATATTTGAAAGTCCTCAGAACTTTTATCAAGAATCATTTTTATGAAGATATTAGTTTATTTTAAAGTGACAACTTAGCTGCTATTTTGATGTGTCAAATAATCAGTTCTGTACAGTAACAAGATCAGAGCTGCTTGTGTTGATGGTCCCTTCTATTTCTGACTGGCTTGCAGGTGTTAATCAGTGAAAGTACACATATATAAGTAAAGAATTTATGAAAGACATTAGGGCCTCTCTCTTTTAATTCTCATGCCACAGGGACGGCATCGTTTCTCATCAGATGCAATACCCCATTCTTACTTTATAAACGTAGGAAACATCTGATGGAAGAAAAACCTCCTCTTTAACCAAACACATGAGAGTGAATGTTTATCTTTCAAAAAGCTCATCATAGTGCAGAAGAATTGGCTGAAAGAGCATCATACCTTTATGGGTCCCTCTAATAAAGCCACTTTCTATTTTACTGATGAGTTCATTTATCTGGTAAGATATTCGAGCCCTAGAGACTGCATTCAGCAAGGAAGTCAACTCTAGTTAATCTTAATTATCTTAAAACAAGTAAAATATATTTGTGACAACCTCGTTTATTTGGGGCAATGTAGAGTTTACTTTAATTTTAAATCTGTACAGCCCTGAGCTAAGGCCAGAAAATATAGCTATGATTAATAGTTTTAGTATCTATGGACTATGATTTTTAGATAGTTCCTTCAGCAACAAACCTAAGGAAGATTAAAATTTTTAAAAAAGATTTATTTATTTATCAAGTATACAGTGCATGCCAGAAGAGAAACCAGATCCCATTACAGATGTGAGCATATTGTGAGCCACCATGTGGTTGCTGGGAATTGAACTCAGTAACTCTGGAAGAACAGTCAGTGCTCTTAACCCCTGAGCCATCTCTCCAGTCCCAGACTAAAATATTTTATAAGTAATAGTTCAAACAAAAGTGTGTAATAAAATGGTTGTGCCTTTTAATTCTAGTTTTTAAAATGGGTATAAATCGGTATAAACTATGTAGAAAACAATCAAACAAAATTACTGTTACAGTTATAACATGACATTAAAATTGTGTAACATAGGGGAAATGGAATGATGTTCATACAGCTAAATGTCCTTCAATACTTCCTTAAGTTCCCCTTGATAAAGGAATAGAACCTGCAGAGGCTTTGGGGAACTTGTCTGGTCTCACATCATTTAGCACGTTTAGGAGATGTGATAAGTTTCTGTAAAGAGTCTCTGTTCATTCTGATTATTATGTGCCAGTATAATCACCAAAATAATTGAGAGTGTCTTACATTTATGATTGAAAACTTCATCATTTGAGGTGAGTTGGAAGAGGTTTTAAATCTACATTTTGTATATCTAGAGCCACATTCAGACACACCCAAAATTGGTATCTCTTTAAAAGTCCAAGTGCAGATACTTAATTCACTGATAGATGATATTAATTCATAAGGAGTTATTTTATACTAAGAGTTTATAAGTAGAGTTTAAAGTAGTATGGGAGAAATTAACATAAAAATGGATCCTAAAATATATTTTCACATGCATAACAGATTTACAAAATAAATCCACAGACATGTAATTAAACAACTGTGAATATGTAATCAGCATATATTAGCAACACTACATTTCAATAAAGACAACAAGAACAATTAGTTTTATTTATATCTGCTACTTTCACTGAAAGATTTCCTCCTTAAGCCAACCAATTTTATTTATGGGTAATTCATTTTTATATTAATATTGGCTAAAACTATATATTTTACTTTTCAATTCACATTTACAGATAACTTCCCATGCATGATACATTTTTAGCTAGTTTTGTCAAGGCATAGATAATGATAAATTAAACCCTTAAAAACACAGTTACAGAAAACTCATTCTACAGCATATGGAAGATTCCCAAAAAGTAAACACCAATATCTGTTACATTTGAACAATGATTCTATGTGCTAAATTTTGATTTTACATAAACTTTCAGCATTTGTGTTTTCTTCAGATCTGTGCAATCACATATTTCCCTGGAATCATTTTCCAAACCAGGGAAATTGCATGTGGCATTACTGAAGGCTAGTGCTGTGTGCTTGAACATCACATGCTATCACAAGGATCTCTCATCACTCAGAGAGTGAGCTGTGTAAGACCACACAGTGAAATCTTCCACTAGTCTTTACCTTTAAAGCAGGTCAGAACACAGGCTAAATAACTAAAGTGAGAAGATGAATTCATGAGAGCCAGTTGTTAATGTCTTATCAAGAAGGAGACTCCCCAACCCAACCCTCTAGTCTTCAGCTTAGAAAGCTAGAAATTTCTGAACAGAACAGGGGAAGTCTAGAGACAATCAGTATGGAGTGTATATTTGATCCCCCTGAGAGTCCCTTGCTCATCTCTTCCACTGTCAGTGACCAGCAGGGGAGCCATTTACAGGCAGTCCCAAAGAACCAATACCTATGTGAGCAAAGCCCAAGGAGTCTGCTCACTTCTCAAATTTACACCTCCCTGTCCTTCAGAACTAAGAAGAGGAACCAGCTTTTTAAAAAAGCTTGCCATGACCCCTGTCCCCACCTGTGCACTAGGACTCACCACTCAATACAGCTGTGATAATACAGGTAAAGAACAAAGTAGAAGTGATGAGCTTATATTTTTTACCCAACTGCAAAATTCCTACAAACATAAAGATTATTTTGTGACCTGAGGACAAAGTCCTGTGTAGTGAATAAAAGATGGATGACAGTGCCATGGCAACATCTAGAAGCTCTTCTGCGTTCATGATTTGTAAGTGGGAAATAAGACTTAATTGTTTAAAAAGAACTGGAGCCCAACAGTATCTAATGAAAAGTATCATGATACAGTTTCCTTCATTCTAGACTGAAGGTAGCTATTAGACCATTATATAATATCTTCAACCCTGCCATTGTTGACTGAATAACAACTTTGCAACTGTATGGAGACCTATAATTTATTATAGAACTTTACTGCCATCAATACTTAATTCCTAGAAATATGGTCTAGAATTTTAAATAAATTACTTTTCTGCACATATATATTCTATATGTAATTACATTATTTAGTCACTTTTAAGTTTAAGTACAATGGTATGCTCTTATAAAAGCATATACAAATTGTTTTAATTAATTCTCTATAGAAAAGTTAGTAGCAATCAATTTAAAACACACCATTTTACATTTGAATTATTTCCAAAGAAAACTTCATGTTCTTCTTCTGTAAAAATGTTTTCCAGCCAGGCATGGTGGTGGCACATGCCTTTAATCCCAGCACTCTGAAGGTAGAGGCAGGTGGATCTCTAGTTCCAGGCCAGCCTGGTCTACATGGCAAGTTCCAAGACAGGCCAGCTGGAACTGCACAGAAAAACCTTTGGAACAGGATCACATACTTACAACACACACACACACACACACACACACACACACACACACACAAAACTCCAAAAAGGAAACTGGATCTACAACATGAATGAAGTTTTGTGAAGGTCAGTCTCTGAAGATATTGAAATCTATGTGAAGCTTTCTATCATTTATGAAAGACATCAAACATTAATGCACTGTCAACATCATTCAGTTTTATGATATTTTTCTAAAGTAATCTTACAATCACAGGAGCTTGTTAGGAAGAGAATGTATTTTGTAGACAATAGGTGTAATCAAGAAAATGAAACAGATTTGCATCTTATCACAATTGCACACAGAATAAAGCTTGATGAAGTCGAGTATAGAGTGCTATGGACACAAAGCACATGGTATAGTCTAGGGAGTATTTCACATGCTTCCATGGGTTCAGCTTAGTTCTCAAATTCATTTTCGTAAAGGTCTAATGGAAATGAAGTGTATGGTAAAGAGCCCCCTTTGCCTTAAACAAAACTATTCAAAACATTTCAAAATCCCTCAATTCCTGCAATGCCACAAAAGAGGAGAAAGAGAAATTATTAATTTTTAAAATTACCCAGCAACTCCATTGCATCATCTTCATTGTCAATGTCGTCTTCTATTGCAGATGGCGTGGGGCTATGGATGGACTCAAAGGAGTCCTGGGAAAGCATAGCAGCCAGAAGTTTCTTGTGCTGCTGCTGCTGCTGTTTTAATCCTTTAGTCTTGGGCTCCATCTTTAAGCTGAAAAAACATTGATGCGTTAGCTGTGGCTGGGAATGAAAATCTACTAAACTAGCGTTCTCCTTCCACTACTGTGTCACATAAACACATCGCGCGCGTTACTTGCTTTCCCCCAGGATAACGAAACAGCAAGTTTCTGAGACATCCCTTGGTACTCAATCAATTCTTCCCCCAGGGTGGAGATGCAAACTCTTGCCCTCACAGCAGGAAGTGCTTGACTGCTACCACTTGACTCACACTCATATTTAATCGCTTTTCTGATCCTGCAGGAGCTAGAAAGTCTGAATTAGTCCCAGATTTCTACAACAAGTGTATGTCAAGTAAGACACAAGTGTTGGAGTGTTGTTGGCATTTTGTCTTATTCATTTTAACCAAAACTAGTGAGGATATCCTACTTATTACGCTCACAGTCTCTCTTCCTTCCTTCATCTTTCCTGATGTTCCAGGACTCCCTTTGTCACTTCCTCTGTGGGAAGAACTTCATTCACTCTTACCTTATGGGAACTTCTGTTGGACAGTTTCACTAGACTTACGGTCCACAGCTATTTACTTTTGGTGCTTCCCTTTGTTCTCATATTCTTAGACGAAAAATCTGTTGCCATTCTAATGATTGTTCTCCTTCAGGCAGCTTGATATCTATCTCTGCCTGCCTTGCAGATTTCCTATGTGGAGCATCAGAGATGCCTCGGCAGTGAAGAACACTGGCTGCTCTTACAGAGGAGCATGGTTCAGTTCCCAGCATCCATATGACAGCTCACAAGTTCTGGCAGCTTCTTCAGCCCTCTCTCTATGGGCATCAGACACACACATGAGGCATGGATACACAGGTAACAGGAAAATAACAACTTTTGCTTTAAAATATTCCTTCATTGATGCTGGTTTCTAAACATTTACTTAAGATGCACCTTTGTGAAAATGCCTTGAGATTATCCCACCTGCCTTTTCTCAGTTTCTAGCTGTTCAGTAAGTTCTCAACTGTTATTCCTAATTCTATTCTAACCTACCCATTCCAACCTATCCAGTTCTCTTTTCTTCTTGGAACTTGATAAGATTTTCAGACCTTTTCTTAATTTTCCTCAGGTCCCTGAAGCTGTGTCCAATATATGTGTGAGTGTCTGGAGGGCGTGTCTAGGCAACACATGTCTGATGGTGCACACAGAAGCCAGAAGAGGGCACTGTTTCCCCTGAATCTTGAGGCACAGGCGGCTGTGGCCAGGCTGATGTGAGAAATGAGGCAGGTACCCCACAAGAGCAGACCCCTATCATATTTTCTTTTCAGTCTATTTCCTCTCAGTTATTCAGAACAGGCCAATTCAAAAGATCTTCTCTGCAGTCTCTAATAACATAGTTTATGATGTCTGCTCTTTCACCAGGTTTACACTATTTTTGTTTTTGTGAATTCTTCTGTCAGTGCTATAATTTTCAATGCATTTCTATTACTGTGTTTACTATTATTGTTTTGTATGTTTATCTATTACCAAGGACTTTGAAATTACTTATGAAAGCATTTTTTGTGGTGACTGCTTTAATTCCTTTGCAGGTAATTCTATCACCTGGCTTACCTCAGGCAGACATCAATTAACTTTCAGTATTCAGGCTGTGTTTATTATGGTTTTGGGTATGAATGGTATTTTATAAAACTGTGTCCTGTATGATTTGGCTGTTACATCAGGCCTTTGTGTGCCCTATGCAACGCTTGTAACTTATAAGGCAGTCAGCCTGTGTCACTAAAGTAGTTTAAAAACCAACGACAATTTAATTGTCAGAGCCCTTGCTATGTGGTTTTATCTGCTTTTTTTCTTTATATCTAGTGTTGCTGTAGCTCCTGCTGGTCCCTCCTGGTGTCCAAAGAGGGATTTGCCCAGGTGGTTAAACTGATGCTGCTAGAAAAATGAACAAAGCGTCAGACTTTGGGCACACAGCAGCTTTCCTGTGCCCAAGCTATGTTGTCAAAGGTCCCCCTCAGTGATGTCTGAAATACCATCATACATATATGCAGATGAGAAAGGTCTAGGAGAGGGAACTGTGTAATGAACAAAAGAGGTTGAGCATTGTGCTAGGTTAGTGAAGATGAGGATCTACGCCCAAATGGGGAACTTCAGGTAGTACACACACACACACACACACACACACACACACACACACACCGCCACAGAAGAGCACAGGGCTTGAACACAGAAAAACCAGGAACCAAGAAATACAGTTTCTTTTTTTTTTTTTTCATTAAGTAAGATAGATGCAGCTTCATCACTTCAGAACAAAACTGAGGACAAGGGGTGGATATTTGGGGATAGAAGAAATGATATAATGCTATAATTAAGAAGAATACATTTATGAACAGAGCAGATGTAAGTAGAGCTTTATTGGCAAGACCAGTGTATCTGGGGTTTGAGAAGTCATGGCTCAGACATGGCCACTGTGATAAGTAGAATCCACATTTTGCTAATCCCATCTAAGAACAGAAAGCTGAATTTCCACAAGGTAGAACTTTGTCAAGAACAGAAGAGCTCCTCTCTCTCTCTCTCTCTCTCTCTCTCTCTCTCTCTCTCCCACCATCCCTCCCTCTGTCTCCATCTCTGTCTCTGTCTCTGTCTCTGTCTCTCCAGTATCTTGCCTATCTGATTCCTGCTTTGATGACTCTGGACACCTCTAAAACTATAAGCAAGTCCCCATTTAAATGAATGCTTAGGCACACACACACACACACACACACACACACACACACACACACACACACACGCACACTGTAGGAAAGGGGAGCTGAGGCTGCATCCAAGGGTCTGGTCTCAGTGATGTGTTTTGACAGAACTAAATACAAAGAATGAGGAAGAGTGTGAATGAGAAGCAAATGGTGCACTTTGGGTCTAGTTGGGTACCACAGGGAATGAAATAGCAGGCTGGGGGTAAAGTACCTGAAATAATATTAAGATTCCTGGTAATGATGATAAGACTTAAGAAATTATAGAGGGCGGGGGATCGGGTGAAAAGTGAGAATTAAAAACTAGTGAGAAAAGAAAGGAAATGAGAAGTTAGGTTTGCAGAAGAACTACTTACTATGTTTCATCAAGACAGGCAGAAGGCATAGAAAAGATGTGTTCCAGAGAAGAATGACATGAGGGTAATTGTTGTTATGAGAAGACATTGGGTACATGTAAAGGGTATGAAAAGTGTGATTTATGGGATTCCCAAGTCATGTTTGGAAGACAGATGTACTATGGAAAAAGAAAAAAAGAGGATTGTTGTAGGGAGAAGACAATGGGCAAGGCTTATAGGCAGATGTCACATCTTCTTTTTTTCTAGCACTATAGCCTAAGAACAGAGGAGTGGAAAGAACGCTGTACTGCAGGCATCCAGGAAGTGCAGAGTGGTGGGTGGGATAAGAAGAAAGAATGGGTGGATCTTCATAAGAACCCTGGAGGATCTTCAGGCATTCGCCCTCTTCCTAAGAACACTGGAGGTTCCATACACACTCACTTTCTTCCTAAGAATACTGGCAGTTCTGCACACACCCACTCTCTTCCTAATACTGGAGGTTATGCACACACTCACCCTATTCCTAAGAATACTGGCAGTTCTGCACACACTCTTTCTAAGAACACTGGAGGTTCCACACACACACACACACACACACACTGTTTTTAAGAATATTGGAATTTATTCACACACTCACCCTCTTCCTAAGAAAACTGGAGGTTCTGCCGAAAGCCACTGAGAGTTTACAGCAGGTGACAGCTGGTATTAGAAATAATACTAGGACATTTTTCATTACTCAGACTGACATAGGAAAATACTCAGCCACAAAGACAGCCTTTTACACATTTAGCTGATTTTAGACTTTAAAGCAAATTCAAAATATATTGTTTGCCCCTGGTTATGAATATACAAGGACAATGTGATTTTTGATCAATCAATGTCAGGCATGAAGCATCTTTGGTAAACATAACCCCTGGAGCAACTGAATTTCTGCACATACTCCTAATCACTCAAGGTCCAACCAACTAACTGTTTAGTGTTGAAGTCCTGAATTTTGATGTCACTCTCTGTCTGTACTCAGAGCTACATGCTTACTTTACTCACCATGACTGTTCAGTGTGACCTCCCTAGCCCGAGAGAAAGAAATGATATGGTTCTATTTCTTATTGTTTACTCAAGAAGTTCTGTGTGACCCTGAAAATGTGATTCATATTTGTCCAGATGCTTTGTTGTAAGAGGAGAAGTGAGATGGAGAGAGAAGTGTGAAAGATGGAGAAAGAAGTGCAATAGACGTAGAAGGAAGTGAGTGAATGAGTGAATGAATGAGAGAGTTGTGTGGATGTGAGAGTAGTGTGTGAGTGTGTGAGTGAGTGAATTAATGATGTAAAAGAGAGATTTAGCAGATATGTGAAGAAATGTAACAAGATATAGAGGAGTGTGTATAGAAGTGTGTGGAGAAAAGAGATATAGCTGAATGTAAAAAGTTTTAACTGTGTAGAGAGATTGTCAAGAAAAAACAGATGAGGTTACCATCAGGAAAGCGTGTGCTATTCCCTATTTCTTAAGTTACCATCAGAACACATGAGACCCTCAGATTGAGAAGCATTTTCTTCCGAGTCCCGATACACTGGAGGCATTCTTCCTGCAACCCTGGGTGCAGTCCTGAGAGCTGGTCTCATCCTAGGAGCAATGGAGGTTCTGCAAGCATTCACCCGAGCCTCTTCTTTCTCAGTTCTAAAGCTAAAATCCTTGGGGCTTGTGGGATTTCTAGAATCCCTTTCCAAAGAACGGATGAATAGCAAAACCTTGAAGAGGACAACATTTGGTGAAAGACAGGCTGGGACAGCCACTTCTCAACTCTTCAGTCTGGGGCCAGGATAAACTGCTATTGGACTTGGAAACCTCTTTCTGATATAGGGATGAAGATGGTAATAATAGTAACAGTTCCATGAGGATGAAGTGGTTTAATACTGGCAAAGCACACAACAATATTCAATAGTCTTCTATCAATTCCATGTCTTCAGGCG